CTTTTGTGGATCAATGCCTAACCAAACAGAATGTTTTTGCACACAAATATTCTACTGTTGTGTTGGTATGTTTTCATCTAATTCCCATTTCTTAGTGCATGTATATAAAACCTTGATATTTTGGCTCTGTTTGAGTCCCATTTTTGGGAGAATATAGGTTTTGAAATAGTGATTTTTGGAGAATGTGTGGCTAAAAAATCGGAAAAAGTTTGGAATTTACATGTAAAATTATTTTATGGAAGAATAAACGATTAGAAATGAGCTTGGTTGGTTGAGCACAACCAGACTGAACCCAAATTTAAGGAATCTTGGCTCAAACTTCATTTCCATCCTTCTGATTTTGTTAGAAAATCACGTGTTTATGTCAAGAAGTCTTGTACAATCTAGTAAGCCTTTGTTTGGGTTTCATTTTCTTTTCCTTAAATTTTACTTTTCAAACTCAAGTTTTAATCACTTGTCCTCTTTTCATTTCATGAAAAGTAAAACTTAAGTCAAACAAAATGAACTCCAAACAAAAGCTAAATCAAATTAATAAATGCAAGACCGAATTTTGGGCATTAACGCAATTGAGACTAGATTTTTCTATAACTAGTGGTTGCTCTCATTTTAAGATTTCTTTTAATTTGGCTCTCACCCTGTGGGCCAGTTCATTGAGCCCGGCAATCATTTTACAAGTCGGGCCTTTTTGACATCCCCTACATATGTGGCCAATGCTTTAGCTAGTCGATTCGTGTCATAAAATAGAAACACAGATCCAAACTGACGACGAATTGCGCCTAACAATTTGCAGGCTTTCATTCTACTTTCGTGTGTGATAGCCGTTTTTGTGAACTTCAGCACGTTCTTAGTGATTGGAAAGACATCGCCAGTTACATATCAAGTACTAGGTCATCTCAAAACATGTCTTGTTCTTGCATTTGGCTATGCACTTCTGCGTGATCCTTTCACTGCAAGAAACATTCTTGGTATACTAATTGCCATTATTGGAATGGGTTTGTATTCATATTTCTGCACCAATGAAAGTAAAAAGAAACAAGGGGGAGATGTTTCATCCATGCCTCAGGTAATTCTGATGCATCTCTTTCTCTCTCTCTCTCTACCAAGGCCCGTTTTCGTTTATTTAATGATGATTATAACTAATTATTGATTAGTGGAATGGGTTTGTTTCAGATTAAAGAGAAAGATACTACACCACTGCTGATGAGCCATCAGGATAAAGAAGATGGATCGAAGAATTCCATTGTTTAAGCTGTTAGGATCATGTGTTGATGAGCAAAGGTTTTTCTTTTACTTTTTTTTTTTCAGAAATTATATTCCAAGAGTGTAAATGATTTTGATTCTTTTAAATAATGTATCTCCTCTTGGAACATTTTATCAGAGCTTTCGCATTTGGAAGTTTTTTCTTTGTGTTGTTCATGAAATAGAATTGAGAAGATCCATAAAATTATTATGATTTGACTTTCTTAAATAAAAAAGCATTTTTCGATATTTTGTTACTATTCGAATCGAAACCAGACGCCCATGTGATCTTATCCGATTACATTTTACCCAATGGTAAATTTATTAGAGTCTAAGTACCAACTTTTATTCACAGTCTAGGTACTAATTTTTAAGAAAAGCCGTAGTGCTTTGTCTTCCTCTTTATGCTCATGATTCTCGTCTCATGCTACTTAGCCAATTAAATGATTATTACTTGATACTTGGTCCATTTCACTTAATTCTTTTACAACATGGAAAACCCGAGCTATTAAATTAAAGTTAGAGGTACTTTGGAGGTTGCCTTGCGAAATCAATTTCAATTTAAAGTTCTTGGATCACAAAGGTGTCCATACACATGTACAAAGGAAGACTATGCGTTAAAGATTGGTGTTGATTAGCAAGAAGACTTGCGAAATCAGATTCGTTTTCACGTTTTTATCTTTGCGGTTACTCTCATATACTGAACCATAATATGTCGTGTAACCAAAGAGAGTAATAAGGTAACATACTTGCAGTATTTCTTGGAGGAATTAAGTTATTTAAGGTCGAACATTTGCATTTGGATGGTCACAATTATTTGCCTAGCAAAGAATCTTGTCTGTCATGTCTAGACAAATCATATTATTAGTTCTGCGAGGGAGTGCTTTCCAAACCTAAAGTTTGATCATCATGGATTTTTCTGACTATGGACAAAGAAAATATGGATTTTTCTTGGAAGAAAATTGATTGCTCACTTACAAGTCATCTTCAAAAGTTCATAAATCAATTTTTAAGTTTCAAAATTTGGAAGACACTGTTACCCTTGAAAATATATTACGCCTCTGTTTGATCCCTTTTTTAATACTTATTTTTTCCAAAATTCATTTCCAGTCACACATTTCATAGAATTCACAATTTTTATGAATTTTTGAACAACATAATTCATTAAATTTTATCAAAATCTACCAAAATTTTGATTTTTATCTAAATCAAACAGAGGCTGTGTGTTGCTCAAATGCCAAATTAACGAACAAAATGATTGTATTTTCCGTTCTTAAGAACATATCACACACCTGAACCCATTTATTTTTCTTAAACTTTAATAGTTGTGAAAATGGTTTTACCTTGGAAACATAGCGTGTGTTGGCCATGCATGAAACTAATGGAGAGAACTCCAATGGAATTGGAAATCAAGATATTTTGATCATATCATAATCGATCTTTGTTACCGTGGATGCCCTAGGAGAATTCACTTGGGTCTCTTAATCACCTTTGATTCCTGAGGCATGATGTCTTTATTTTAAATAATTCAAGTCGTCTTCTTACTTTCAAAAAATTATTCTAAACCCCTCTACGGGATTGAAAAAGGAAGCTTTCACCCAAATGACTTAGGAACCCTCTAAAGCTTTGAGATCGTTGCTAAGTCATGACATTATAAGGGTGTCATTCCCCAAATATGTATACTTGTAATTTTGGGCTTCAGCCCTTCCACTAAACAATGGATATAATAAACTAGGGAACTTATTGCTACCTAGAATGATCGAGATCTCTAGGTAACATTGTTGTAAACTTAAAGATTGTTGAAAACGTTACATAAAAAATAGAATCAGGACAACAATTCAATTAAAGCCATAGGTTGGGGACCAACGAAGCAATTTTCCCTTTAACTTTTAAAGGGGAAAAGGACAAAGATCAAAGATTCCAAATTTATTATTAAGAAATGGGATAATTGCAACAGCGGTACTAACATTTCATTTAGTAGTAGACTTTGTCCAAATCTTTCATTTATATCACCCACGACACCAAACATTTTAAAAATTAGCACATGGGGTCCAAATGAATGATTTCTGTTAGTTTGACCATTAGTTGACCAAATAATTGACATTAACAATAATTTTGACTAATTTTAAAAGGTTAAAATGATAATTTTGCATTTTTTTTATAATAAAATAATTAAAATTAAAAATTCATTTCCACATTCTTCTTTTCCATCCAACCCCCACCCCTGCCCCAACCCCAAAATCATTACCACCACTATCGGATGGCTCAACCGTACCCACCCAATGTCGGTGCCACCGACATCTCCTCCACCGCCACCTTCATTCTCATTACCTAACAAATTTTTCTTTCCCAAATCTGGATAAGGAATTCTCATCACCTAACAAATTTTTCTTCCCCAAATCTGGATAAGGAAGAGAGGGAAGAAAAAATTTGGAGCCTCTGCTTTTGTGTTCCCAATGTAGCTTGGGGAAGAAAATTCCCCTTTCTTGTAGCAAAAAATACACAGTATTTAAAGAAATGCATGAACAATGTTTACACTCAATGCCCACATTACAAAATCCCACCACCTTTTATTGCATTTGAATTATCTATTTACCACTTCTCAATTACAGTATTTAAAGAAATGCATGAACAATGTTTACACTCAATGCCCACATTACAAAATCCCCACCACCTTTTATTGCATTTGAATTATCTATTTACCACTTCTCAATTTCGTGTATACAATCCCAAAATAAGGCTTCAAAGGTACCGAAAATTTGTAATTTTCAGCCATTCTTTGTGGTTTCTTGAAGTTAAATGATTAAGGAAATTTGAAAGTAGTAACATGAGTTTTAGGTGCTTTAAGCGTAAAGAGAGTGATAGAGACGTACAATTAGAGGCGGAGAGGATGGAGTTTATGGAGAAATTGAAGAAGCTGCCAATGTTTTTGACAAGGAAGAGTTGCTCAAAGTTGGAAGAATGGATTTGGTGGAGGCTATAAAGAAGATGCGACGTTGTGTAGTTGGGTGGTGATGGTCGACCGGCCGGTGGTGGGGGTAGGTTTTCCTTGTTGGGTGAGGGGTTCTCTTGAAGGAGATAACACACTTTTAGGTTTGGGTGGGGTAAGTATGTGTGGTTTGGATTTTCTTTTATTTTAATTATGTTATTATAGAAAAATGTAAAGTTACCATTTTATCCTTTTAAAATTAGTCAAAATTATAGTCAAAATCAATTCTCTGGTCAACGACGGTCAAACTAAGAGTTTCCATCCATTTAGACTCTGGGTGCAAGTTTTTTAAAGGGTTGATACTGTGAATGGCACAAGTAAAAGATTCGAACAAAGTCTGCAACTAACTGAAAAATTTGGTATCGTGACTGCAATTTCCTCTAAAGAAATTAAAAAGGGTAATAGAGTCATATTGACCATCAAATCATTTTGCCTGCCAAGCTTGCCGTTGCCCAATCTGTGTTCCTTTTAACAGAGTAAAACCAACCAGCCAGGCCAGAGAGAGAGAACAAAAAGAAAAAAGGATTCCTCTTCAACCCCCTTTTCTAACCAGCAGTACCTACAATAAAGAAAGAAAGAAAGAAAGAAAGATATATGTGCAGATTCTTGATGCATACATATACATACATACATACACGCACTCAAACTGTATGTGTATGTACGTTAAACTATTTTTACATTTTATTGAATTGAAATTGAACATATTTTTTTTCGATTTTTAGAGGAAATTGAGAGGTGGGTTACTGGGAATTCTTGGTAATAAATAGTGAAAATGGCGGTTTCACAGAGTGATGGTAATAGAATGGAGGGGTGGTTGTATTTGATACGGTCTAATCGGATTGGGCTGCAATACTCGAGAAAACGTTATTTTATTCTTCAAGATCACTTGCTCAAGAGCTTTAAATCTATCCCACGTTCTGTCAACGAGGTTGTTAATTTTTCTTAATTTTTGTGTTCATTGATCGATTTATAGTGTGTATTTGCATATGCATGTGCGATTGTGAAGTTTGATTGTTTCTTGCTTTTGTTTCAACTTGCAGTTAGTGTATGACCTTTTATTGGGATTTTTATATTTTTTCTGTATCATCTGTACTATGAATAGGAATAATGTATATATTTGTATATTCTATAAGTATATTCTTTTTTGCATTTGGAATTTCGGGAAAATTTAGTTCCCTATGTTCTATAATGGGAATGAATGGGATCAGTGCAAGTGCCCTTTGTTTCTATTTCTGTGAGATTTCAACCACAATTACACTGGCGAATATGCACTCCTATGTTTGAGTGTTATGCTTGCCTGTGTATCTTTTATGTATGTTTATATATTCATGTTATAATATATGTATAAAGATCATGGTTATATGCTTAGCTATCTATATATGTATATATGGATTTTAATTAGTCTTTTATATGTTTTAATATATGTATGTCTAGTATAGATGTATGTATGCGCACACGGTTACGATTTTGGTTCTCAGTGTGACCACGGTTCAAGCAGCTTGCTTGTAGTATGGCCATACGAGTTTTTAAATCTATAGATTCATAATAAATTAGAGGTTATGGATTTTGGCAGAGACATTTTCTGTCAGCCTGGATTTACACTTATAGATAACTGAAAGTTGTGTACATTGTTGCCTTCGTTTTCTCTTTCCTTTCCATAATTTACTTTATAGACACAATTGCAGACCTTGGACACTGATCTGGAATATATTTACAGGCTTCATGTTTTCTGTCATGTTAAGACTCTTTGGGGTCTGCTCAGACTACATTTAGGATCAAAATGCATATAAAATAAATGGAAGCTGTTAATTCAAAACTTTGAGTTTGCAAAAAAGAAAATAAATGAGTGGTGCCTAATACCATTCTGCAGAGAAAAACAAGTTCCTCTTAGTAGAATAGAATGGGAACTTTTATATGAGTTCTACTTGAGTAGATTACTTACTAGTTATTATTGGATGACTGAATACCCTGTGTGCCTTGATTTTTCTATTACTGGTCAGATTTTCATAATCAGCTTCCATGAATCTGATTTATCGAGGTTGATAAGTGTTCCTGAGGAGAATTTTTTCTTTTTGTATTTGGAGAAATATGGAAGTGAAGTTAAGAAACACTGAAAATGGATGTTCACTAATTTTAAACTCTCTTAAAACTTGAGAAATCTGTAGTGGTGATATGTGGTTGCGATTTCTTTATGGTTGAATCCGTAAGATACGCTTTTAATTCCTTTTTGTTTCCATTTGTACTCTTAATGTTCCTTTTCGTTTACTTTTACAGCTGGCTTTGATTAAGTAACCATAAAAATAGAGTGAATTAAACTTTTGGTTCATTCTGCAATTGTTCCGTGTATGCTAAAAAATTATATTTATTTCAAGTGGATAATTAATATTTTGGTTCTGGTTATCCTGGATTTTACATGTTGGTCATTATGAGCAGGTATTATTTTTAAAATCTCATGCTGATTTTCAGGATCCTATAAGAAGTGCAATTATAGATTCGTGCATAAGGGTAACTGACAATGGGAGAGAGAGCATCCAAAGAAAAGTATAAACTCCTTGCCATTTTAATTTATGGCAGTGATAATTTTCCAATTTTTATGCTAATCAAATCAATTTGTTTTGCTTTTCAATTGGCTGAGTGGCACTTTTCTTAATTTTCCATTTGCAGGTCTTCTTCATTTTCACACTTTATAACACTTCCAATCACAATGATCAACTGAAGGTTTGCAAGCTCTTTATTCCAACATTTACAACAATTGCTTTTAACAACACACTTAATCAAAATCTTTTTAATTTATAGTTGGGAGCAAACAGTCCTGAAGAAGCTGCAAGATGGATTCAGTCCTTTCAGGAAGCAGCTTTGAAGGTCAAAACTGTTCTTTTTTATTAAATTTCTATATATTTTTAAGGTTGGCAAATGATGATTATAGGTACCTGCAGCCTGACCTGAATCAAGGAGATGTTGATTTCTCTAGACGTGAACCACAGTCTTTTAGGTATATAAGTATTATATTTGATTTGTTTATTGACCAAGATATCACTTTTAAGATTTTTCTAATTAATTGTCATCGATGTGGTCGGTCACAACGCAAACCGTCTTATGTTTTTACTAGCAAGTCAAATTGCCAATTTTTATTATGAACAATTTGAAAATTTTCGACTTGTCTCTTTAAGCTGAAATAAAATTTCCAGCCTTCTTTATGTTGACCTATTTTCTTATGTTCTTTACAGGTTAAACCGCCGTAATAAAAACTCACATTCTGTTGACTGGACTCTCTGCTCATCATCAGTTACTGATGCAATGACATCTGATGTTGTTGCACCATCATCCTGGAAAATTTTTGGTTGTCAAAATGGTATAGATTAAGTTAACAGTGTATCTTGCAAGATGGAGAAATGATTTGTCTAACGTGCTAATACTTGTTTAATGCAGGTCTCCGGTTATTCAAGGAGGCCAAAGATAGGGAATTTCATTTGAAGGTCGGTCAACCAAATGTTAATACGAAATTCGAAGTCTTCGAAACTTTCTCTTGTTCAATCTTTTCTTCCTAAATCTGTAGTGGGATGATCATCCTGCAATAATGGCTGTTGGTGTAATTGATGGAACATCAGAGGCCATTTTCCAAACTCTCATGTCTCTTGGTACTTCAAGATCAGAGTAAGTTGCAAATGATATTAGAGAAACAGAATTGTGACTTCAATAACAAACGTTTCACTTGAACTTGAAATATTTGAGTAATAGTATCACTTGTGAATCCATTTACTGATAAAAATATTTGAGCTGCAAATGTTAGTCTATGCTTCACGATATCTTTACATTTTAAACATGAAGAATAATTTTCTTGGATTTTTTGGGCAAGAAAAATAAGATGAAATGAGGCTATGTTATGCAAATGTTGCTGCTTATGTATTCTAATCGACTTTGCAATTTTCTGTTCTCGTAAGCGCTGTCTGTTCCTATTTTTTCCTTCCATATTTTCAGTTTTTGCATATACCTTCTTTTGCAAAAGTCATTATGTATAAAAAAGAATAATTCCCACTGTAGAAGATATAATAGAAATTCTCTATATGCATATCTGTCTGTGAACCGCCTTTACTTGAGTAAATTAAAAATTTCAACCTGGAAGGTTCTCAAAGTGCTTACCTGGAGCAACTTCTAACCTAATTGAGAATGGTGTCAGTTTTGATGATTCATTGGAACTTTGCTTATGTCAAAATGTTGGATTCTTTTATATTTTATTCTTCTGTTTTATAATGGCATAATAATTTCTTTGCAGATGGGACTTTTGTTTTTACAAGGGCTCCGTGATTGAACATCTTGATGGTCATACTGACATAGTTCACAAGCTCCTATATCATGATTGGCTACCATGGTCTGGTTCATCCCTTCTCTGTAAAATTTGTTTCGTTATTTATACCGTTGATACACGAGATACTTGTTGCAGGGGTATGAAGGGAAGAGATCTTCTGTTGCGGCGCTATTGGAGAAGGGAGGATGACGGGACATACGGTAATATTGTTGGCTCAACTCAAGTAGTTAATACCCCTAATGGTACTCAATTGGAAAATAACTTTCATTTGTTTCTGTTTCTTGCAGTTATTCTTTACCATTCAGTGTTTCACCAGAAGTGCCCGCCTCAAAAGGGCTATGTCCGTGCCTGCCTAAAAAGTAACATATGCTTAACATATGGCACTAGTGGAAAATTTTTCTCTTTTTTAAAAAAAAAAAATTTCATAGATGTACAAGGTTTTGCTGGTTATCTTTGTATATTTATCTCTAGCTTGTGTTGTATGGATGCTCAAACACAAAGTCTTACAATTTGACATCTTACATGCTTATAAGCTTTTAATCCTACTACATTTCTTTTATAGAATCATGTTACAGCTGGCTCTATAATTGAATTTGTATGACTAACGAGATAACGCTTTGCACTCATCTCAGGTGGTGGATATGTGATTTTTCCTGTGAATCAAGGGAAGCAATCAGTAGTGAGGCATATGCTAGCTATTGACTGGAAATTCTGGAAATCATATATACAGACATCATCAGCTCGATCTGTAACAATTCGCATGTTAGGGAGGCTTGCCGGTGTGCTTCCTAATCTGTCTCCTCCTTTTATGCCAATGCAGTTACTATTATATCGATTTATTTATTTGTATTTTGAAACTCTTCTGCTTTACTTATATCTATGCAGCCTTGAGGGAGTTGTTCAGAGCAAAATTAGATTGCTTATCATCTGATTTCTCGTCGGGTGAGATGATGAAAGATAGTAGCTCGTTTCAAAGTACTCGAGAATTGAAGGTTGAAGTCCAAAATAGGCTGGAGAATGGGCAGAGTAAGAAGAATATGGAGGAAGAAGCTGTTAAAACGCCTTCTGAACATTCAAGTCTTTTTGGATTAAATGATGCAGCAGATGAATTCTTTGATGTGCCAGAACCTGTGGATTATGATCAATCAGAAAATGGTTGGAATTCTGATTTTGGTCCAGAAATGTACTCTCAGGTACCAGTTACTAACTATCACTTCCTGATATTGTTAGGAGTAAGAACATAGCTTTAGTGGGGACAGTAGTGCCTCTGATGACCAATTTCACTGCCTTAAATCTAGAGGTTCAATTCAGTAATCATTGCACAACTAGCAGCTCAATTATGAGATGATATGACTAGATGCTAGATAAGGCAAAATATCTTTGTTGGGTTGGACCTGCAATTATGCATTATGTCAATATCGAACTTTCACACATCTGCTTGTAGAGTGGAATGTTTAGCTTGTGGTGCTGGATATCAGGCATTCAATTCGATTCAAAATGTTGCTACTTTATTTCCTTCAGAATTAGGGCAGGCAATGATGTTTTGAAGGCATCAATTTAAAGATGAAATGTTTAATCTTAACACAGAATTCTTTAAACCCTCCATAATTCTGGACTCATCTGATACTAATATATATGTGCTCGTATGGGTAGGTACTATGCTGTTCATAAAATGGTGGAAAATCTAGTGTTTTCTCAATTCATTTGTTATATATTGATTGTTTCAGGACACTCGTCAACCCAAACTGTCAACTGCTGCTGTCTTTGTGAAAAAGTTGCATGATATAGCAGGTAAGTTGATTGAAACTCATAAACTTGACATGTTAGTGTTTGTTCTTTTTCTTTTTCCTCCTCCTTTCCCCCTTGCCTATTAGGCAATAGTATATTGTTGATCTCTTGAACTTCTACTAGCCTAAGAAGTCTTCATGCTGCAGTTCAGAAGAAAGGTTATGTAGATTTGCATGAGGTTGCAAGGGAGGATAGACTGTCTTGCAATTATGGATCTACTCTTCCAAAGGATTCAACTTGTAATTTGCCCTGCAGCTGGACAGCAGCAGATCACTCGACATTTTTAATTCGTGGAAAGACTTATTTGGATGACCAGAAGAAGGTAGTTTCCATTTTCCACTTTTGTATATTTATTAAAATCCTAGTATCTTATCTTTCAAGAAATTGTGTATCTGCCTTTGTTTTAGTGTAATAAACTAAACCAAATTGTTTTACAAGGTAAATGTATGTTAGTATTTCATGACTTCTGCTTAAGCCCATTAATAGAGCAATTAACTAAGCAATTTATGTTGAGAAAGTATGAAGAAAATCTCACTTCGGCTAGACATGGGTAAATAATGGTTTTATAAGGGAATTGAGCTACTCCTCCCGATAGGTTAACCTTTTGGGATGGAACCACAATTCCCAATTACTGGTGTTAGAGCTAGGCCCCAAACTTAGCCATGTGGAAGCACACAATAAATCCCCAATTTCACCAAATGAAGTTGTGGGTCCTAGTTAATCACAATAGGCTGAAAGAATTCATAGTTGGCTCTCAATGGCGATTGTGCCCAAGTAATCGGTGGCCTAGTTGGGCGTTGATGGAGCGTGTGATCATTCCTTGTTTAAGGAAGGGGATGGATAGATTTATCTCTTAAAGATATGGTACTTTGTTCAGGGATTGTTGGGTAAGTGCATATAATATGCCACATCAGCTAAACATTGGGTAAATGCTTGTTAAGGGAATAGGGCTGTTACTCTTAATAGTTTAACCTTTTGGGATGGAACCTCAATTCCCAACAATTAGAGAAGTATTTGCTCCATTTTTTTTATTACTCCATGCTAAAATGGCACGAGTTAATAGTTTATTTTCCTTAATTTTAATATTTTACCAAGTGTTATTGGTGAGTGTAAGAACTGCATTAAATATCAAACATTGTCACAGACTTCTTAAATCTGTACGTGTGCATGACAACTAGAGTAAGTCTTTTATTGTTTGTCTTGTTTTCAGTTACCACAGACTCTCAAGTTTCAATTATCATTTGATCGAAGGAATTTTTTTTCTTTGAGCAGGAAGAATGTAGACTGCCTTTGTAGAGTGTTTTCTTTTTATTCATGTAAAAAGAATTTACTAAAATTTCCAATTTCACAATGAATGACAGAGTTTTGCTTTCTAGCCTCACTGTAAATAATTTTTATATGTTACTCTTCTCAGATTAAAGCAAAAGGCACATTAATGGAAATGGTTGCTGCTGACTGGTTGAGATCTGAAAAGCGAGAAGATGATCTTGGTGGTCGCCCTGGGGGCATAGTTCAGGTGTTTCTTTATTTTGTGAAAACATTTATGTCTGGAGTTTTCCCCACTTTTATTACCTTTGCAAAATTTATGTATACTACTCATGTAGTGATCAATCACTGAAATGAAGTTGCTATGTCTAATATGTAGAAATATGCAGCAAAGGGAGGCCCAGAGTTCTTCTTTATTGTGAACATACAGGTAAATTGGGCCTCGTTCATTTAAGCATTTTTACTATTTTGGAGGTATAAGGAATCGTTTACTGACTTCAATTTTAATAATCTAGGTCCCAGGTTCAACAACATATAGCCTTGTTTTATACTATATGATGAATACTCCCATTGAAGATTCTCCCTTGCTAGAGAGCTTTGTCAACGGGGATGATGCTTATAGAAATTCGAGGTTCAAGCTCATACCATACATTTCAAAGGTCAGTGCAGTTATTGTTGCATTTAATTGCATTTTACTTAATGGTTACAGTTTTTCTTTTCAGTTTTTTGCTCATTATAATTTGCATTTAGATGTGCGTTCAATTTTCTCTTGCTTTTGGACTAATCGTTCATGCCTTGTAGATTCATTTTCCTTATCTTTTCTCATTTAGTTTTTTAGTATACCAACTGATTTTTGAGCCACTGAATTTTTTTGTTGTATCCCCTTTCCGATGAATTGAGGCGTATCGTCGAGATAAACAGTATTGTAGTTCCTAATCAATGTTCTCTTGTTCGAATACTCATTGACTATTTCTCTTTCCCTTCATTTGGTTCAAGTAAAACGTAGAAACGCTCATTGAGTTTGGGATTTGTCCTTGATTGCTGCCATCAAGAAATTTATTACCAATTTGAAGCATCATCAAAGACGAGCTGAACTTTGGCAAAGATTTAACTAGCTCTTAACCTGGTCTTCCTTTTTATAGGTGTCAGAGACAAAAGAAATTAGCTTTGAGTTTTCTTTTGACCTGTCAGTGCTAGATGTCATCGCCTCTTTATTGTCAGTATTGTGGTATAATTGGATGTCATCAAGCCTTATTCTGCACTGAAGTGTACCTCACATTCTGCTGATTGGAATTGAACATTAGTCATGATGGTTTGTCCCTTTGATGAAACTTAAGAAATTACCCGTATGTCATTTATATTTCTAAGAATATATTGCATGTTATTAAATTCGAGGCTTAGATTTAAGATCTATCAGATGGTCTAGCTGAAGCCGACTTGAGCTGCTGCATTATATATGCTTTTACAGGACTTGTGATAACAGTCGGATTTGCTTGGTCTCAATTCCTTGAGTTTAATTATCTTTCCTTGTTGTTATGGCCATCTGACAAATTTCAATCAATTATGAAGTCTAGCTCTTCCAATCAATTTTGTGTGTGTATGTTTGTGGGGGTTGTTTCCATCTTATGTTGGTTCAGAATGATCACTCGTGCCTTGCAGTACATCCTTATTCCTTTGACTTCTTAACCATAAGAATTTCAACTTGATTGTTTTCCAGGATGGAGGAAAATGGTGTTTATGAGAGTTAGCATATTAGCCTGTTAGAGTGATTTTGTTAAAGGTTTGCAAAGCTTTTGTCAAAACTAAGTGGAATTTGTTCAAACGGAGGCCATCGCTTGTCAAACTGGATTTTTGGCCCCAAACATTGTAAAATTATTTTGTGTATTCGGTGGTGTCCATTGAGATATATGGTTCTTTTGAATGTAATTTGTAAATTTAAGGATAATGCAGAAAGATATTATGTGAAATAGTCAAATAACCTGGGTCAACTAAAATATTGTCACTTGAAAATTTACACATTGAAATGCAGTTAAACACATCATTTATCAGATTGTATTTGTTGTCATGTGCACTCAACTGTTTCATCTCCCAGAATATTACCTTTCCTATCCAAGCATACTATCTCAATGCTTGCTATTTATCTAGTTTCATGAATAGTACGCATCCAGTCTGCTCATAGCAAATGAAAAAAGCGTTCATCCTGGATTCTCTTCCTCAATAAAAATGCCTATCGATTGATCCCAGCCATGTATGATGATGTAACAAAGTTTTGTATTAAACAACTCACCTTGTTGCGTCACCTGTAATCAAAACATTAAACACTCAGCATAAGATGAAGCTCACAGATCATGGTATCTTCAATCTATTTTGCAGGGTTCATGGATAGTCAAACAGAGTGTTGGAAAAAAAGCATGCCTCATTGGGCAAGCACTTGAAATTAATTACTTCCGTGGAAAGAACTACTTGGAGGTACCGTGCAAGTGTAATTTTATCTTGGACCACCTGCTGATTCTCTATCATCTTTCACTTGCATGTGTTCATGTACATTGGGATCTGGTTCATAATCTTCAATTTCTATTATTTATTGAACATAAATGCAAGAAGAATCAATTTACATATTTTGACTTTGCTAAATCAATGATGATATACGAGGCCCCTGTTGAAATTTTATTCAAGGCATAATATCTTCAGACTTCGGTTGGCAATAACTCTAGGAAGTGAGTTGTATATCTTATCTACAATTGTTTTGATCCTTGAGTATGGTCCGTTTAATTGAAATATTATTAGACATGTTACAAATATTTTATTCGAAATATAAAAATTGAGTCTCAAAAGGTGGGATTGCTGCTTCCCTTTTTAAAATCAGTTTTTTTTTTTCTCTTTTTTTCCTTTGATTTGTTGGAGGGGATTCGTAACTGAGAGTTTTGGAGACAAAATGATTTCGGAAACTATTCTTGAATGTCTTTGTTGGTTAAAAAAATGAAAGTCCCATGTCTTTATAAATGCTGGCATAAGCACAGTTTGTTGTCTTTAACTCTATTACAACATGTAATGCCTCATTGCTACCAAATCTGTATGTTTAGCAACAGAGTAACTCTAGCCATCTTAGTATCCGATGATTGATAAATTACTTTCGCACGTCTCTATTATGACAATTTAAGCTTATTTATTAATGACTAGCTTTCATAAAGCCCAGCAAAAGATTCCTTTTCAGAAATATGTATTATCCGACATTCTGATCAAAGCTAATATGTTGATTCATGTCAGCTTGGTGTTGATATTGGTTCATCCACGGTTGCAAGGGGGGTGGTCAGCCTTGTTCTAGGTTACCTTAACAATCTGGTCATTGAGATGGCATTTTTAGTACAGGTAAAGCGACCTACAGAAGTTTCTGTACTCTATTAAAAGGCATGCTCCTTGATTAAGATTCCACTTAATTCGACTGGCTGACAGTCTATACAATAAGAAGAAAATTCTCGAGTGCATGTGTTTATTTAAGTCGTTTTTGGTCTCATTATTGATACTTTCCTTACACTACACAGGCCAATACACCTGAAGAGCTACCGGAATATCTTGTTGGAACCTGTCGTCTTAACCATTTGGATGCCTCTAAAGCTGTATTGGTGAAACCATAGCTCATTTTCTACAGACAGAGAACACAGTGGCACCCACCAAAGTTATTGAGTTGCAAAGAAAAGCATGAATTGTGTCAAATGAATCTGTAACGTATTTAGTTAGTTGTGATTCTTTTATTCAATCAAATTGAATAGGTAGGCGGGATTCTTATGATGTTATTGATTACCCTAACCTACTGGAAGAAATATAGAAATGTGGCTTGTCTTGTGAAAATATTCAGTATTCTTTTGGAACACAAGTACGTACTTGTGCATGATCATACAATATGGAAATGATTTCGATACTCTATAATGTTGCTATGTCACCCCAACTTAGGAATTGTTTGGCAGGATTTCTATTTATTGCACAATAGCTTAATGAAGAAGATACTTTATGTTCAAAAAACATCTTCTGTTTATGTCATCGTTCTCTAAAAGTTCTCATAGTAAACAAATCACTTCTAGAATGTTCAAAAACAGTTTGTTAGGCTGAAATAGTTTTTTACTTTTCAAAAGTCCTCACTATTAAGATTCTTCTTAACTTATAATCTATGCAAGACTTGATTAATAACATATGTGATTTTTTTTTGTTAATTAGGTTTTAACAGACAAAATTAAGTGGAGTGTATTTTATAATTTTAAATTATAAACCTTCTTGGATAATATTTTTTTGATGCCGATAAGTGCATTTTATACACTTATTTAGGCTAAAAAATATGCATTCTTAATGTTGCACATGTATGTTAATCTTCTTAATGTTACATTGCAAATATTTAAACCTTATTTGCTATCATTAATATTTATTTTGAATTCTTGAAACGGAAAATTGAGGCTTAACAACATAGAAATGTGCTGGTTGTCATGACGTCTACCAACATGATCATTCTATATCCACATCTACTGCTGGGGAGTTTATGATCCTTAATCTTTTATTTAGATTATTTTTTCCCTTACATTGAGGACAATATTTTGTATGAGTTTGGGGGTGACAGAATTTTCATGACACTTCTGACATTCGTCACTATTTGTGTATAATTTATTGATTTTTGTGTGATTGTTCATGTTAAAAAAATTAGTAGTAATTTTTATTTATTTTCTAGAATTTGTTTATTATTTTGTATGCTTGTGTGGGTTTAATGGTCTTATTGGCAATCATGTTGAATATTGGAATATGTATAGACTTGGAATGGTGGAAATATTATATGATTAGATTATTCAATACTTGTTTGTGTGAAATTTGACATTCTTTATGAACAACACCCATGCTTTACCCATTAAGTTAGTGATTTGACTCATTGCTTTGAGAGGAGTTTAACAAAGTAAGTTAAATCCGAAAAACTACTATTGTATTTATCCATAATCCATTTTTAGAGAAGTTTGGAAATAATTGAGCCGTTACGCGGGAACATTGAAATGAGTAGGAATTCCTTGCATGAAATTATCTTATCTCAAATCAATGAGACAAAATGGAGATGAAAGTCTTAAGTTAGGGTTTGGTTTTAGAGACTGAATTTCTTAAAGAAAATGGACAAACATTAATCTATGTGTAAATAAAATCATCTTTTTGAGCATGTATAACTCGAGTGAATAAGATTGCAAGGGTTTAAAACCCGGTACCCCAAAGTCAACTGATTAGGGAGTTATCGGTTTAAAACCCACTACATGGGTTATATAAAAAACAAATGAGAAGATGTTTGGAAGAAAAAAGAGAAAGAGAGAAAATAGAAATAATTGAGAAAAGACACAATTACATTGATTAAGCCCCAAGACAGTTGGTTGATGGAACTATACCTTTGATGCGAGACAAGTAGCTTAGTTTTCGTCTTAAAAGTTGAAGCAATAAAAAATATAAGAGAATCTCAACTTGTAGATGTGTGTACTTGTGAGGATGAGATTCATTCAAACCAAGAGAGGGTAAGAATTAAAATTAACTAAACTTCAACTTTATGACGCACCCTAAGAAAATTGAGTGAAAAGAATAAATTTGGAAGTGTGTACATCTCGAGTTAAGAAATGAAATATTTGAATACTACGGATCGGGAGTTGAACCAATCATGAGCTTGATATGTTTATTATGTTTACATGAATTTATACCCACCCACATTGAGTTTTGCATGTAACAGGTGGACGTTGATTTAATTTTCTAATGTTGAAATTATTCACAGTGTTGATTGTTAAATTCTAATCCTGAGACAGTGCAGGTTGTCAAATCATGTTTCATTTGAAGTTAAGCTGCAATTTGTTGGAGGATAAACAATTGTTTTGAGGAATTTGATAAGTGCATTTTATATACTTATTTAGGCCACAAAATATGAATAATTGTGGGTAAATATATTGTAATATGACTTAATTCTACTTAAATTACGTTTTACAGGACAACATTGATGAATATAGTTGAATTTAGGAGAAACAAGCGAAAATTGACTTAAATGAAATAAAATCAAAGCTCAGGGACCAAAATGTAAATAATGAAAAGATGATCCGGAAGAAGAAAGGAAGATGTGAAATAGTCGAAGACCGATTGAGCGAATAAATGAAATATTGGAAGAAAAAGAAGTGAGAAAAAAATCACGAAATGAGAAAACGGAGTTTTGGAACTAAAACGCAAAAATTGGATCTTTGCCTATACTATGCTATATCATAGTACATGTATCCATGCGATCGCATGTTAGCCAACAGGAATTTTCAGGGCTAAAATTAGTTGAACTATGTTATAGCATGCGATTGAACTATGCTATAGCATAGTATATTTTTGGAGGAAAATTTTTGGGTTCCTTGAAAGACTCCAGCTGTTATGGAAACAATATTTGAAAGAGGAAGGGAAAACGTCACATAAAAGTATTCTACCCTATTTTTTATTAAACAACAAATACAAATGTTTTATGCTCATATTCAGATTTCCCATATGCAGTTTCTTGAAGAAGTTATATGCAAATACCCAAGAATGTCCATGTTCTTGTGATAAGTTAAGGTTTGATCCAAGGTAACATTTTCAATTTTCCTTCCATTGTGCATGCTCAAATTCATTACTAGTGCGTGAGAACAGTTTGATGAAGTGAATGCATCTGGCAATCGCACTTGAGTGTTGACGCAAGCGAACAAATTCTACATTATGACATGTGAATATCTTTCAATATCAATATGAAGCCAACTTTGCATTTCTCACAAATGCATGTGAACTTGGGTAGGGTATTCACTGCTAAGAGTTCAGTTGTTGCCCATGAAAAGCTCTAAAACCTGGCTCTAGATAGTTACTGTAAATACAAAATAATTTTTTTTCTCTACCTTGATAGGATGTTGTGGATTAGTTCCTGAGTTGTTAGTATATATGCTTATGGTAAAAGAGTTAGGGTTTGAAAACTTGTTTAGGAATTACATGCCTGTAGCTGATTTGATGAGGAAATTCAGTAATTGCTGGAATTGTTTTTATTGGAACTTTCGGCTCTAATATTAAAGATAAATATAAATGCTGAAACAGTTAACTGATTGAATGGATAACTTTCACTTGATTATTATAGTTGTCGTCCTATGGGATATGTTTCCCTCTATTTATTGCTTCTAGCCTCTAGGTAGATATAACTAATCTTTTCTGATTTGCTTTGCTTATACACAGGGGCGGAGCCAGCTTGTTGAAGTAGGGGGGTCCTAGAGTTGAAGAGGCGGGAGGCTCACGGGGGTTCGGGGGTAGTGCCCCCGAAAATTTTTTTTTAGATACTTTTGGCATTCCATTTTGCGACACACCTCTAGTGATAGACTAATTACTATCATCTTAAATCCATATATAGCAAGAAAATGAGAAATTCCAATCTTATGTGAAGAAAATGAAGTCCACACATCATCGAACATGAATACAGATCTCTTTATTCTCTTGAATGCCTTACCCAATTTGGCTGCTCTCTTGTGCTCATGACCTTCAGCCGAAAAATCTAGATTCAATGCTTTAGCAATGTCATTTTGCAATTTGTGAATGTTTAAATCCTGTGAGACAGTAAACCAAAAAACATTAGCGTGTAACACAATTTCATTCTTTAGCTTATTATAGATACATTGGGTCATTGG